CAATAGTTAGAAAAATGATAGTAATGTTATAAATAATTACAATAGTCACTGTGATATTTCATTTTGCACTAGGTCAAACAAATCTGGTTTAATTGCTTGAAAGGTGAATTTTATTACATTACGTTACATTACATAGGTTAATTGACCACTCCCCATAGGGGCATTTCAGGGTCAATGCCGAGCAACACCCGCCCATCCCACCCAGGGGAGGACATCCACCACACTGCCCCTGCAGTTCGCAACATGGATATGAATCAACCATGTATCCCATTAGTTCCTCAAATTGTATTATTTTACACACAATTTTTTCAATAATCCTTAAATGAAGTCAGAGGGAACTTACTTTTTCATGACAGTGGCAAATTGTCCTGCAGACGTCAGTCATTTTTGAAGTAACTGTCTCAGTTCACAAAGAGACTATAAGTCCTCCTCGGTTGTTAAGCAGTCTGATGTAATAATATTCACATGTCATCTGTATGCTTTTGTTTAATCACACAGTTCAAAACTCAAGAAAGTTTAAAGGAGTCTTACCAAATAGTTCCCGGAGCAACAATAGTTTAAACATGACAATGGCCGCATCAGAGACTTTCTTTGTATATTGGAACTTACTGCTGAAGATACAACAACAACAATTTGCACAGTTTCCTTAGTCAATAGATTTATTAGCTAACATGATATCTTTTATTATTATAATAATAATGATAATAAAGTCTTTATTAAGCATTCTAAACAACAAACGTGTTTAGTTACAGATATGAACTCAGCAAGTATAAAACTAATGAACTAACTAAATTACTAACTGACTAACTAATAAGAGAACAAACATCTATCAACAAAAGTCCTCTTGAAACGTTCAGTTCTGACAAGCGGGAGAATATAATTATGGCGCCTCTTACGTAGCGTAACCATTGGTCGCTTAGGTGGCAAAAGGTCGTCTAAAGCTGTTGTAAAATCGCTGTCGGTGATCTTGGCCCACAACTTCTTATCTTTTAGAGTAATAATATTTTCAATCGAAAAAAGCTCTTTACAGTAGCCAAGCTTAAAAGCTCTCTTGAACAGCCTGTCTATGCGACTCAGATACTTATGATAATACGCGCAGCCCCATACTTCTACAGCATATGTTAATATAGGTAGAATAAGACTGATAAAAAGAAGATGAAGATTATCCAGCGGCAGTCCATAGAATTTACAAACACGTAAGATGTACAGGCGACTACTGGCTTTCGATATAATATTATCAAAATGTAAAGCCCAGTTACACAGTTACATTATGTATCTTAGCAATGACATTTGTGGGAATTGATTTTTGCAACTCTGAAGATCTTAAATCCAATGTGTCTTTCGTAGATTTTATATGAAAAGGCCTAGGATACAATCATGTCATATATGATACCTACGTGATAAACTAAATACTTTGCTCAATTGCACAGTTTTCACTTTCTGTTTCCTTCTTTGCAGAATCCATATGGAAAGTTTCAAGGGCACCAACCAGGATGTGGTAATGACAGTTATCCAATAGTGACTGGGAGAAACTTGTATGGTAAGACCACAATGACTTTAGAACTGAGTTATTAGTACTTAACATCACAATTTAGCTACCTTGGGAAGCCAATGATAGTTATCCACCTCTTGCTTGATCAAAAAATTGAAATTTTGAAATGAAGTGCTATTTTTCTAAAACTTAGTATTTCTGGACTACAGATTTTACATTTTAACTCCAATAGCCACAATGTGAACATAGCATAACATAAGCATAAGCCGTTCTGAAGTTATAAGTCGATATGTGTGTATTCATGAAATCTGATTCCTACAAAAGTTATAACTCTTAGTTATCAGCTCATCAAGGGAAACCCGTATGAGGTGGTATATTATGGGTGTATTCATATTCACATATATCCTGATAGTGCATGTATCAATCATGTACTAGTGTTAGAAAGCTCCCCTTCTTAATAATTTCCTTCCTCATTCCTAAGTTATACTTTCTATAGTAGAGGCTTTCATTCTCAACTGAGTAAACCATGTTCAACGAAGATTTATTAAAAAAATTTGTGAAAGAAAGATGTAAAAATTAAAAATGCCAAAAGTTCGAACATTGATTAATTAGGTACATCTAGTCTTTTAATGTCGTTGAAAAACTGGTCTTACTGGTGGAAGAAATCCAACACAAGTATCTGTGTACATTTGACCATCTCCCAATTAGACCACCCAGGGTTTCACATTGGATGTTAGAAAGAAGTCTTCCTTTCCACTACGAAAAGGGAGAATTCGCTAAAATGGCATGTAGACAAGTGAGAAACTTGGAGAGAAAATTAAGTTTTCAAAAGTGTTTATTTAAGATTTTGAGGATGTAGCTCACTTGTTTTTTTTTTAATTGAAATTTTTGCAATTTACATCATTCCGAGACAAATTCATTCATTGCAATGTAACTTACTTCCAATAAGTTGCCTTAAGTCAGCTGATTGATGCCATTTTACTCGCTTAAAGATCCATTCATCAACCAAGACAAAACCATCACCTTGCCTGAAAGATCTCCCAGAAGAGGCAATTGACGCTTTTTGTGAGAAACTCGATATGCCCCTGAAGGGAGTTGGCAATTGGAGGCATGTTGCAACATGCCTTGGATTCACTGAGGAAGAGATTCAGATTTTCCGAAATGAAATGTTGACTCCGGATGGAAGTCCTTGCACCCTTATGTTGAAAGCACTGATGGTGAAGTCACCTTAGTTCACTGTGGCAGAATTTGTGCAAATTCTGCAAGGCAGGAGAATTCTGCGCTTTGATGCTGTGGAGGTTCTTGAGCCCTATTTACACAGCTATAGAGAATGATCTTTACAACAATGAAGAGATATTCCGTAACTTCACTTTTAGACGGACCTGTCGAACTTTCTGGCTTATGTATTGCAAACACGGATTGACAAAAAAAGTGAAAGAAATAATAAAATATATAAGAAAATAAGGAGTTCCCAAGAGCACTAGCGTAAACAAACTATTTGTCTGAAAATAAGCTTATGACACAATTTGAAAGAGAACTTTTTGAAAATGAACGAAATATTTATTTTATAAAAAAATTCCAAGAAAACTCCTATGAAAGCTTAAATTTTCTGGCAAGTTTATCGTTTTCGCAGCCAATATCACGTATGCTGACTCTCTCAAATTATTCGGTAGTCTCCTGGAAAAAACAAAAGCAAAAATAAAAAAAGAAGCAAATCTTCTGGTCTCCGTTACGGGTTATCAACTATCCCCTATAAAAGCGAACTCAGATCATCAGTTCCTCATTGAAACCTAATATCTGGTTTTACGTCAAATCTTATTGCTCTTGTCTTTATTGCATATTGCACGCACTCACCTTGCTTCTTCCTACAATCCAATTCTTTGCAAAATCCAGTATTAGCAATAATCCAGATCAGGTTTTCTCAATGGACTCGCTCAGACAGGATTCAAACAAATGTAAGTTTAAAAATAATCTCAAAATCCTCTTATGGTTCTCGAAAACAACTCTTGGTTTGGGGTGTGCAGGATAGAATTAAAAGGCGCCACGCTCGTTGAAGATATTTACCTGGCTGGAATTAACCACTGGCACCTATGTCGTAGGAAACAAGCAGCAAAATTCTGTAAAACAATTTCAAGAATAAAGGAACGAAATGTAGAATAGAAAAGAACAGTTTATCCGTATTATTTTGATCATGCAGCCACACGTTATAAAAGGTGCTATCGAAAATAATAATAATAATAAAAAAAAAAAAACGTGCGCGTGATGTCAAACCAGCGGTGACGGATTTTGTGGTTAGTACTTGGTGTAATCCTTAATGTAAGTTAATGAATACAAATGACCTTGTATTCCCATATGTTCTTCTGCATTGATGCATATTTGAAGGATTTCAGCGATCGAGTACCTACAATTTTGTGTCCATGACTGCTGGACTTTGGCTCATACGTAATTGTTATGTATGGGAACATAATATATCCCGCCATGTCTTTTTCCAAAAGTTCATTCTCCTATATATCCCGAGTTCCTTGGTTCAAAGTAACTCTTTCCAATTTTAAAGAAGTTAAAGAAAAAACCTCAAGGAACAAGAGTTCCCAATTGAAAGCAAATTTAGCTCCTGAACGTCTAGATATGTCACTGCATAACACCTGACATACATAACTTATCTACGTGGATTCATGTTATTCTCTTACAATACCATATTCCCCAAGAAATGTTTTTAGTCCTGAAGCCCAAACAGAAGGATTACAGAAACAATGATAAATAACCGTACAAAGTATTGGTAATATTGCCTCTTGAGGCTATTTGCGCGCTGTTCTGCCCTTTAGAGGTTAAGCAGTGCAGTGATACGAATCATATTTCTCATGGCTCTTTTCCAATCCCGAGGAGTCCAAAGTACAAAAAGTCATATTAAACCGCTTTCGAGGACAAAGATTCAACACATTTCAGAAACTACGGGAGCTTCACAACATCTAGTGCTGTTGATTCACACCGATTTTTTTCCGGGCAAGACTTGCAAGAGTTGCAATACCATTTCCCCACGGAATCAGCGCCAGCTGTTGTAAATATTAGCGCCTGTCAGAGCAAGAGTGTTTCTACTATTCCTTTTATCTCATTAGATGTCTGGGCCTGTACCGAGAAAGAGCGTGCTGGTGAATAACATGTGTAAATATTTGTGTGGTTTATTCACTTCGTATTTCTTTATGTCAAAGCACCTCGAAGAATTTTACGCGACCTTGAAGAATGCCTGTCCATTCCGACGAAGGCGAAGAGAATTCACTGCGATTCAACGGGTTTCTAAGGATCTATAATCATTCTCACCAGCCGGGAATTTTCCCGCCAAATTCCTCATCGGTCACAAGCAATTCATGTGACCGGCTATGCGCCCTTGGATGAACTTGGGATCAAAATAAGACACGTTATTTGACTGGACGGTCAATATAAACAGATTCAAAGAACCAATAAGGTAAGCGTACCATAATGTAAACAAACTTTAAAGACTGCAATTCGTTTCATTCACTATCTCGCTCTTACGCCGCGGGATTTGACAATTTAGATTTTTCTAAAAGACTATTTTTTCTCCGCTTCTTCAACTTTTGGATCGAGTTAAAAATCATCTCACAGAATAATGCAAAATGGATTTGTCACGAGCTTTGCGCTTGATGACTTCTTCATAGCAATCACTTCGGTGGAGATTTCGAACTCATTGAAAAATCATGATGCACTCAGGGAAAATGGTGAGAAATTTGCTGCATGTTTCATTATTAAAGGATAAGTTCTAATTCCTGCGGGAAATTTAGTCGGCAAATCTCAGAAAAACGTAGTACAATTGTTCTGATAGCGACTTCCTCGTTCGTTTAGGGGGTTAGGAGAAAGAGTCACTACGCAATACCACAAAGACCACGACAGTTCGCTAAACGCAGATATGTTTCGCGTTCTTACTTAAAGGTAAGAAAATTCTTTAAGATGTTATGGCTATGTTGTTCTTCCGTCGTTAAACACTATCAAACACTTTTTCTGTGTGTCAAATCTTAATTACGTCAAAGTAGGTTTATAAAAGCTGTATTTTGTCGCCGAATGTTACAAAAAATGTGCTGCGTAATCACATCGATTAACAAAATGCGTTTCTCAACCAGCCAACCAGGTTTGCTAGAGTAGAAGAAATCTTCATAATTATGAACAAATTTTCATTTTATGAGGTCTTGGTAAACTTCACCCCATTTGAATTTAAGAGAAAATTTTTTCAAGACCTGCCTCAAACACGGTTTTATCAATTACAGGCTAACACCACAACTGTCATAAGAGTTGATTTAGGTACAATTCGAGACCAAATCTAATCCAATTTTTCCTCGCCAACTCACACAATACTAGCTTAGCGAATACGACATTCCTTTCCGATATAAATGATCAAAATCGTACGTTTGTTTCATCAAAACCATCGTATCAAAAATGGTTCATCAAATTGAATATTGCATCAGCTATGATCGCATTTGAATAACTTCACGACACAACCAAAACATAATTAACATTCATTGTTTGAGTTTGGGAAAACAAAAGAGTATTCAATAAGGTACGTCAACCTTAGCACATACGTTAAAACATCTTCAGTCATTTATAACTTATTTTGGCAGTTACTTGGGATAATAGCTGCGGTCTTCTGTCTTCTTCCTGTGGTTTCTCCAAAGGTAAGATTTTTGTAGTTAGAATTTCATGGACATTTATTCGTGTGCGGGCTGTAAAAATTACGATCACCTTTGAACAGCATCGTATCGTTAAATAGATTACATAACAAACTTCAACTCATACCACTAGGGCAGGATTTTAAAAACTACACTTCTAGAAACGAGAAAGTTTTTCACACTAAGCAATAACCGAAAATCGAAAGTAAAAGAACAGTTCAAACTCTTATGTTCTAATTTCCTTAAGTATAAACAGCACAGCAAACTAAAATATTCAGTTTGGAAGGGAGAAATACAAAACTGTAGCTCCTTTGGGAAAGAAAATTGTCCACATTGAACTTCATAATTTCGTAGCACATTTATTCGGTAGATTTAGGCGAAATAATTTGGAAAAATATTAAGTCCGTAAAGCACAGCGACCTCAAATTTTTCGTAAATTTAAAAGTTTTGCCTCTTTCTTTTCACGGCGAAAATATAGCCTGAAAACCCCTTGGAAATTGAATCTACAATAACAACGAGGCTGTAAATAGAACCGGATAGTTAAGTTACTCGTGTCTACTTCCCTCGCTTTTGCTCGAAAAAAAACCACCATAATTTGAACAAGTACGGTTCCAAGCTCTCTAAATAGACTAAGGATGAACTTCTTATTAATAGAATTCTTAATTAAACATAATGGTGATTAAATGAAAACTGATGAAAAAGCATCGATTCACATTTGTTTACACTTTTTCAGTAGACGCAAACACGTGCGAATCCTCATAAAAGATCGTTTACCTTAAATTCTTTGCTTTCAATTTTAAGCTTCGAGTCCAAATAACCTTTTCAATCAATTGAAAACCCTCTTAGGTTGTTATTCTCCTCAAAAACCATCTTCAGATCTTTGAGGCTAGGAGAGGCCTATCTGATTGTGATCCGCCATATTGAAATGTCATGCGAGATGATATTGTGTGTTCACGTAGGCTACACTTAACTGTTCAAGCTCAAATATGACCAAGCAACTTCCTGTGTAAACATTTGCATTTAGGGTCGGAGGTAAAAAAACGTTTGAGTTGTTTTTCCTCCCATGGAAGCTAAAATAATCCCTTTGCCCTAGCGGCGGTTACTTATTCATTTATTGGATTGATACACACCTTGAAAATTGACAGGATCATGAGCAGGTAGAACAGGCTAACAATATGATCATAATTCTATTCAAATGCATTGTACGTCAAGTGCCTCGAAATAAAATGAAGTGATTCCTGTTCTGCAGAAGTATGGTTTCACAAAACGGGAAAACGGCACATGTTTGCTTCATAGGTGTCTCCAGATGACAGTTAGATGTGGCCTACATGGCATATGAGGTGATCTACTTCGATTACAAATGGCAGAACTCGAGTGAAAATCCGATGAACTTCTTCCGATTTTCAAAAGAAACTCTTATGATGCATTTGCAGAATCGTACACAACAACATATCCGCATAAACCCATTTCTCAAATTATGCATAAGGCTATTTGATCAAGAATATAGTGAAGAAAACAATAGCTCACCTTTATGACTCAAGCTTTTTTTCACAATGGAATGGAATTATGTGAATCTTTCCTCGTACTCAAAGAGACTACTTTACCCTCCGCCACTTAGTGTCATACCTTTTTCTTAGTTTTTTTTAATTATTTTCCCAGCCAACGCCAAATCAGCCTTGCAAACCAACCCAGCACTGGGTTGAAAAGGAAGATGGCTCACGCCATTGTATAGATTGTGGAACCTGCCCAGAAGGGCAAGGTCTCTCAACAGAGTGTGGTACTTCTGAACTGCTGCGTTTTAATACCATGGTTACCTGTGTGCCATGCACCGGAGGAGTTTCATTTTCCAGATATAAAGATTCGTCACAATGCATTCCTTGTGCATCCTGCTCCAATGGTCAGGTGGTGGATCAAATCTGCTCGCCAGAGCAAGATATTAAGTGTGCAAATAATTGCTCTAGCAAGGACAGGTACAGTTGTCATTATTGGGATTATAATTGTTTAGTGAACAAACCCGAACTGAGTTGTTTGTAATAATTTTGTTTACCTAAGTCTTTAGTTTCATTGCTGAAATAGGTGAGACTGTGGGAATTATTAAAGCAAATCTACCGTTAGTACTTATCTTAAAGCCAGCGAAGATTTTATATAATTTTTTTTACGTTAGTTGGTATGCAAGCGATGCAATGTTAAAGTTATTATTTATACTGGTTAGGTATTATGACGAGGACATGGGAGACTGTTTAAAGTGTTCAAGATGCTGTGGCCGTGATGATACAGATGTGGTCGTAAATGAGTGCCAAGAGAAGTTGGGAGCTGGCTCAAACATGGTCTGTTCATTTGATAGCAGTGTGAACCGCTGTGATGACACAACACCTCAACCAACACCCAGTACAAGCTATGTCAGCCCTGAACATGACGGTCCTTATAGCACTCAAAAGAATGATCCTTCCACCCAAAAGAGTGATCATTCCACTGAAGCGAAGCCTCAGGACAACCTAGTAGTAATCGTTATTCGTGCTGTGGTGATAACGGTTGTTTTAGTTGTTTGTTTATACTTTTTCAAGAAGAGACTGGCAAAGATGTTAAGTTGGTGTAATCGTGCTGTTGAAAACGAAGACCATCACAATTCTTTAGTAATGAAGGGAAAGTTAACCTCTCAACCTAAAGAAACTGCTGGTAAGGATACAAAGCTATCATCGTTTGCGTTCCCACTGATGATATTTACTTTTGAAATGTTGAGCTTTCTTACAAGCTCAAGAATAGAATAAGTAGAACATGGTGACTGAATTGCACTGAAGTGTATATGTCAGAATCTCTTAAGAATTATTTGCTCCGGGTAAATCGTAATCGTGTTAACTTGGTTATTTTAAAAGTGACCAAAAACAAAGATCATTCAAATCCTTGATAATTAACTTCCATACAATGTCTACGTCTTTGCAATCATTTCTGGTCGTTTTATTCAACAAAGCTGCATTTTATCAAATTTAATACATTCTGGAGAGAAATGGGAATATAACGCCTCCAGTCAAGTAGTTTCTCTGTCTTATGTTGATATCAAGTAACTAAAGAATGATGCAATTATTCAATTCAATTGTTCTGTTTTTTCATTTAGAAAACTCATGCCGAAACGCAAGGGAGAAGGACAAATCAAATAAGCTTGGAAAAGCTCTTACAGATTCTAATGAACCCTTACTGCATTTAGAGGAGGTATATTAAAAAGATCATTGTTTTACCCCTAAATACGTAGATTAACTTTATAACTGGTACATGTAGGATATGTGACAAGCTTGGATCGTTACAGGTATTCATATGTTACATGTATATATGTGTATGTGTGTGTGTGTGTGTGTGTGTGTGTGTGTGTGTGTGTGTGTGTGTGACCATTTCATATTTGACGAGACTTAGCAATTGTTAAATCAGTCAAATCACCGCATATGTCCAGACCTTTAAACGTTGCTTTGATACAGAAGTAAAGACTTTATTAAAGTATCACATCACCAAAGATGAGTATGTAGATGTCAAAACTGGATCAAGGTAAATTTAAACATGCACACTAAAGAGAACATCATGCTTGAAAAACTAGTTACGAAAATTGTCCTGCACAATAGCAGCACTCTTTAATGCCCTATCTGAATGAAACTTATATAAAAATACTTGGTAGTCGATTGTTTTCTTTCTTTATTACCTTAGGGTATTGTGGAAGACTTGGAAGACGCTCAAACCAGTGAAAAAAAAGGTGTGATTGACATTTAGTTTAATTCGTAGTCTTAAAGGTTAACCCTCGATTGTTTTTGATAACTGGAATATCTCTTGACTGTCACCACACCGTCATACCACAAAGTTACCGAAGCCATCAGGGACGAGGCAGTGTTATCCTAAGTTATTATTTGTCGAGTTACAGGTGCGAGTTTTCTCATCGTTATTATTTGTATAAGCTAATAGTTTGAAATAATTCAAAGTTGAGACAAAGTCAATCCAGAGGACGAGAGAAATTCCTGGAAACCGTTTACTATTTTAAGAGTGTTATCACTTGACACTTGACACTAAAACGATTAAGTTATTTTCTCTCTTGTTCTATGCGTGATGGAAATCTAGGGCTTATAAACAAATTAATAGATTGAAGAGTGGAAAGCTTTCTGTTCGGTTGGAAGTACATGTGAGATGATAATTTTTTTGAGAGGGGGAGGGGGGAAGGGGAGAGCCAAGAAGACGAATCTTCTATATACTGCTATCGTGGTAGTTGTCTGTAATGTCGTCTTTGTTTGATTGTTTCTCCTTGGTTTAGATTCGAAGCTTCTTAGCAGTTTGTTGGAGTGTGATTCTTACCAGTTCTTAAAGAAAATCTGTGAGTGTTTGGATACAGCTATGGCAGGCCGAGACTATCGTGATGTCTGTTTTCACTATGGCATCAATCGTTATGAGATTGCCTCAGTTTTGGAGAAGGAGAGGGATGGGCCATCTAGAGCCCTTATTGACAGATTGGCAACCTCACATGTACAGCTAACAATAGCTGACTTTGTAAGTGTGGTTAGGAATGTAGCAAAGAGAGGTGATGTTGCTAAACTGCTAGAGGAATATGATTCGCAGAGGGAATGAGTGGCAAGGCTTTGTTTTGTTTTGTTTTTTTTGTAATTATTGGTCAGCCTACTTCGCTCTTACTGAGGGCTAAGACTTGCGACCCAAGACTGCTTTGGATTATAATACTCTTTACTTTGGCCAATATACTTTATCAATTCAGTCGATAAAGCAAATTATCTTGTGGTAGCCCCACTTACGCAGCACTTCAGTTTCGTGAGAAACTTACCCCAATATTCTAAATAGTTGTCTAGTATTTTGTAGAATCTTTTCGATGTTGATCAATCTTTAAGACATGTTTTAATCAGCATGACGTAAGTTTCATACATGTGTCGCATAAAATTTGAACGTGATAGCTGTCTCTATACCTAAGCCCCAAATGCAAAATTTTAGTAAACCAACTGTTAAAAACCATAAAAAATCAAATTTTTCTAGAAGACTTTCTTAATTTATGTTTCAACGGTCATATCTATAGTCACTATGTTGCATTTTTTGTATTTTTTTTATATCGAAAATATTTTTAAAATGTTCGTTTTGTATTATGGACAATGTTTCTTTAACAATCTTAAAATTTGAGATTTAATTTTAGTTTTTTTTTTGCTGTGCAATATTAAAGTACATATATGTTCATTTATTAATAGTTAATTCAATTTAAAAAACCAACATTCCAAGTTGTGTCCCCAATTAGCTTCAAGCTAAATACCCCTGATACATTATAAAGTTTATTATCATTATTATTTTAAAAGGCAGCGAAAGCTGAAAATTCACTTAAGATATTTTGAAGTGTGATGGCTTTTCCTTCGACTTTCATGATCAAGGTTTTTTTTATTCACATTTCTAGTGCAATACATTTTCTTATTGATTTAAGAAGAGAGTTTGTGGCAAACATTTGGTTTTTACTCTTCGTAAAATTGTAAGTATTTTGCCTAACAGCAAATAAATTCCCATGTTGTGCTAATTAGGAGAAGCAAAAAAAGCAATAAAATGTTCATAAAATATTACTTTTATGTAGTTTTCTATTCTTCTTTGCTCATCATTTATCTTTTTAATATAACCCACATGTTTACAGCATTGCATTCTTTCATTCCCTTCCTTTCGGTCTTTACTTTCAATCTCTCATATGTCTCCTTTGATCTTATCTATTCACATTTTTTTCAGTCTTGCCAAATATCAACTTAAATTCGCTGAAGAAGACACTCAGTCAAAATAAACCTCATCAATCACTGATTTTCACTAAACGTCTTTGATAAAATAACAGTCAACAAATAATTGCGGCAGTAAATTCTGTTTAGAAACTTATTATATGCCAGAAGTGCTATAGGCTAAAAATGCTAATAAGATACCAGGTAACCACGGTATTCTGTCTATTGAGAGAGTAAAAAAGCAATTACTGAAGACACAAAAAGTGATAACTGTTTACAGTAGATTTCCAACGAATTTTGTATTTAGTTACCCTTTGCTACTTTTTTCTCCCAGTTTCGAATACTGGAACCATAACAATATTGATGACACTTCTTCTTGGCTTTGAACACAAATCGCTCAGATTCACAGGAAGACTTAATGGTTTTGTCGGCAAGACTGAAACAAGACAGAAATAAATTAAAAGGGAAAAGATAATTAAAAGAAGTTTGGTCTTTATGGTTAGGACTCAAACTAGCAACTATTTAGGATAGGGATTTGGTCCTACATCTGACCGCTAGAAGTATGAACTGAGGCTAATTAAATTGTTAGGAAAAATGAATCGAGCTCTCTTCACACCGCATGAGGAAGACTGGTTCAACAATAGCAGATTTGAACAATTTAATTTGATTGATATTTTTACATATTATGATCGTGTAGTTAAATGCCCTTGTTTTGGTATGGAAAACATAATACCAATCATCATTTTGTCAGTAGCTCAATAATTATTATTATCGTTATCAATGCCATTGTCACTTTTATCGTTACCATTAGAATCTTGATCACATTATCACTATTATTGGTAGTACTATTATTAATTTCATTATGTTTGTTTTTACTTCAGGAGTATTATATTTGTTGAGCATTAAATTACCAATATTGGGAGAAGCATGTTTTGAGTTATTTCCCCATATTCCGTGGTAATCCTTATGTGTCCTTCGCATAATTTGCCCACCGGACCAATGAACTCCACATCCAATCGTGCTTCTGCCCCAGGTGACTGCAAATATGGCTGACTCATACGCCGTATCTGATGCACAGTTATAACCTAAAACGAAGGTTGTAAATAATTTGAAAAAACTCCTGAGTAACCAGGAGCAGTAACAGTATAACATTACTGTATTTCGGGTTTTTTCGGCAGTTAACATTGTATATCCATCGTGACAAGACTAAATGGATTAAAATGAATACAGCGAAATAGGACATGTTGTAGCCTCCTCTATCGCTAGAAAGAAACATGACTGGAGACATTATTAGCTTGTGAAAAACTACCCAGAACATCGAAAAAAGAATCACCCGAGACTTACTTGTTCCACCATATCTGGGTTAATTATTCTCAAGTTCTGTTGTGCTTGCCCCAACATTTGGAACTTAATTTTCACTTGGTCTTCTATAAATGCATGATTGAACCAGCGAGCACTTCCTTGCAGGCCGTTGTATTCTACACAAAAGGGTAGATGCTTAGCAGTCAACTGTGCTTCTATTCTGTTGACCAGGGCATAGATTTCTCCCTGAACAGGTTAGACAGTGAGATAACAAAATTCTTTCTGGAGCCCGCCAGCATGGTGAGAAAGTGCAAATTGTTATTTATAAAGTGTAAATGTTATAAGGAGACATCCTAATCTGTGAAACGCGATTGACATATCAAGAACACTTGTGACAGAATCTTGATTTAATTCATAAATAATATCTTAGAAAAAATATTGACTGATGCTTCAAATATCCTACAATTTAAGGTTCCATCCCATAGGTTTTATTTACATCAATTTTTCAAAATCAAATACGAATTTACAAGCAGCAGTTTTGCTCGATAGAAACTCAATGATCTATCTGAACAGTCAGTTGAAATAAATCCCCATAACTTCAGGGGGAGGGGGCTGAAATGTTAGACTAGTTTTTCATTCTTTTGATGGTAGTTTTTCAAACTGCAGAGGAACGCTATGTAATAATATTTTGATGGGGTCAGACTTAAAAAAAACGTGTAATCATAATCATCGGAGACGCCTTTATAAGTGCTGATGTCTTTGGCTAGAAAGTCAAATAATATTTTTAGGTCGTTTCTTAATTGGTAGTGACTACCCTTCAGTTTATTGTCTAGTACATAATAATTATGTGACTTCTATTTAGGAAAAAAATAGATATGCCTCCCATTCAATTGAAGGAGACTATATAGTAATATTACCTGAGTGAATTGTTCGGAAGCTAATAAGTGAATTGAAACAAGCACTTCATCTGCAAAACCACGCTGTCTTGCTAAGAAAAACAGGGCTGTATTTATTCCCTGGAACGGATCTTGCATAGACAATCCCGCAAAGTCTGTGTGAAAACAAGCAAACACATCATTGCTAATCGAAGAAATCAAGAAAATACAACTTAACCTTTAAATAATAAATCTTCGTCACTATTGCCGCTGTTAGCTGTGTCGTCCAGCAAATCGTTATGACAGCCTAGCATAACACGCAGCACTCTTTAAAGCTATGCGACTGATCGTATTAATGAAAAAACTGAACTCATGGCTTGCATGTTAATTCGATGCTAGTAAAAGGGGTAGTATTTTGTACATCTACGGATGAGACTGATCAACTCAGAAATCTTTACAATGCGCATGCAAGAGCACAAATACATGTAATTAAACACGACCAAAACTAAAACATACCCTAACGTGTCTTTGGAATTACTAAGCCATCGAGCTGAAATATGCAGCTCGTGGTGTTGACGAGAACAACACGGATGAACTCGGGTTTTTCAGGAAATTAGAAATGTTAGACTCACCGTGAACAGGACCTCTTCTTTTCCATTTTCTTCCGTCGCTTCGGCCTGTCACAAGAGCTGTGCTTTTCCAAGAACTGGTGGTCTCCTCGGTAGAAATATTTTCTCCGATTGTTAATATGGGGATATCATCCTCCACCTTACTGTGAAACGTTCGATTCCATTCACTAACTGAACGTGACTGCATTGGTGTGAAAGGAATTTTCTGACGAACTCCATCGTCAGTCCTGTCGATCCGAACTTGTTGAAACCTAATAGCATGAACTTTTGCCGTTTTCTCGCCTGTAAATAACTTGGCTCCCATTTCTCTTCTATTGAAAGCACTTTGTAGTTGACCCTCTCGTTCCTGGGGAAATGGGCTTCGTTGCACCAAATCCAAGGATGCAAAATCTCTTCCCCTGTGGCTTTTATGTCCTCCGCTGCTGATCCGACCTTGTACCAAAGCGTTCTCTTGCCTACCTGTGATGATTTTGATGCTATTGTTTGCTCCTTCTTCTTGAAAAGAATAATCCATCGCTCCAATACCATCTGCTTGATTCGGGCGAACTCGCGGCCTGACAGATTCATCCAACGTTCCATCGCTTCGATCATGACCGTCTCCTTTACCGAAGGTACTCTGTATTTGATTCCCGCGTGTTTGGGGTAGTGAAATTTGTTGCTCTAAATCCAACGACCCTGAATATTTTCTCTGGTGGTTTTCATGGCTTCGACCGTGGATCTGAACTTGTTTTGAAGCATTCTCTTGCCTAGTAGGGGCTAATTTAACTGCTCTTTCTACATGACCCTCTTTTACACTGAAGCTACTCTGTAGTTGAGCATTTAATACCCTGGGCTGTGAACTTCGTTGAAGTATATCTAAAAACATTCCTGCTCTTCTCTGTTGATTAACATGACTTTCTTCATCAGCAGTGGCTATTTGAATGATGCTGTGGCCTTTTCCTTCCAGAACGGAATTCTTCGCCGCTTGAATCTCGACACTCAGGGGGAAGGAGCTTTCTTTGGTACATTTTGAAAGCAACTCTTTGCTTCTGTTATGACCCTCCTCGCCTTCATCATCTCTTTCAGAGAGTTTACTTACACAATTTTCTCTACTTGCGTGGATCTTCTTGTCGTCTATACGGGAACGCTCCTTCTTCACTTCATCTAAGAATTCAACAGGCTCGTTTGATTCCGATTTAGGTCGGTTGAAAGGGCTTATTAGCGGTTCTGCAGCAGAAATTTTTAGTTTTACCTCTCCATCTTTTTGCTCTCGACGAGATTCTTCATCCATTTGAATGTGTCCGTCATCTTCTTCTTCTCCTGTCTTAAAAATGTAGAGAGGAGGCTCATTTCAGAATAGTCACAGCCGTCAAATGAGAAAATGGTCGCTTAAATTGGCGACAGACATGTTTCGTTTTGAAACTTGTTTTGATTTACTTACTGAATTGGTTCTTTCGTCAGAGGTTGCCATTACCACGAGGCTTACGATCACAAACTAAACCTTTGCACTCTCGATTGAATATAATTATGTTATTTTTAGACTTTGGACTAGAATCATTTGAGTTGTCAAAAAAAAAAAAAACGTGAGTGATTGGGTATGATAAATACAGCATTCTCGTTATATTATTTGGACCTTATTCTCAATTTGTGTCGAAATCGTCGACCGTGTCCCTGAGTCCTTCCCTGACAGAAAAAAATAAGCGGATAGCGTAGCCCAGGCGACCCTTATTATATGTTTTAGACAACGTTTGAAGGAATTCAGAGACGTGTGCAACCTATTTTCTGTATGTCGTCGAAAAATTTGTCGTAAAGTGGGATGTGACACAATTTAGAAAATTGGTTTCTCTTACGTATGTATCGCTGAGTTCCTAGGTCTAATAATAAGCCTACAGGCTTTGCGTAGGCAAATCAGTCAAGCCCCAACATGCTTGGAGAGGTAAATGTTGCATCAAACCTGCCATACACTACGTACAACACGGGAACGCGTGATTCTTGCAGAAAACGTCATCTGCCAAGATACAATTTCCATATTTTTAGGGCAAAAGAAGTAGGATTACACAGACTAATTAAAAGCGTTCAAAATATTGAAAACCTTGGTGTGTGACTGTTCGTGCACGCTGTTGTTCGCAGAACTGACCAAACCATATAATACAAGGAATCATATTTCTTTTGACTCCTTCCCCTGAGTCCCGTATTTTGGGTTCAAAGTACAATAAGTTGATTTAAAGGTCTTTCGGAAACAGAGACTCGTCACAATTCACAAACTACGGGAGCTTCACGAAATTAAGTGCTATCTCTTGATTCACAAGGACTGCTGGCAAAACGTGCAAGAAGTATGGGATCACTTTACGGCGAAATTACTGCCGGCTGCCATCGTCAATATCAGCGCCTGTCAGGGCAAGAGAGTTTCTAATTTCTTTTATTCCGCTCGGTCTCTAGCTCGATCTCCTGCCCAAGATCAGAGAAGAACGTTCTGTAGGATACATAGAACGTACAGGATGGGTAAACTTTTGCCAGGTTTATTGAATCTCTATCTCTCTGTAACTACAAGCGCCTTGAGCCGGGCTTTAGCGAAATCTTGACGAATGAATTTCCATCCGGCGCAGGCGGCATGTAAAGAGCATGCAAGAATCCAGAATGATGTCTCATCTCCCGGGACTTTCCCGCTTAATTACGTATCAGTCATGAGAGGTTCATGTAAATTTCGGAGGTGTCCTTGAATGAACTTGAATGATACACTTTTTATGAATGGGTGAAAACCATGAAAGAAAATCAAAGAACCAATCAAGATAAGCGTACCATCACTGATGTAAACAAACCTAACTAAACCTCTGTCCGCACAAGTCACAGATCTCGCTTGTACTCAGTGAGATTTGATTTATCCTTCATCTCTCCGCATCTTTGCGGTTCGAAGTAAGGCTCGTCCAACAGAAATATCATGCAAGATGGATTTAGTACAAGCATCGCGCCTAACGGATTCTTCCTAGCAGCCATTTTGGTGGAAATTTCGAACTCATTGAAAAACCATGATGCCCTCAGAGAAAGTGGTAAGAATTTTGTTACATCGCCGTTTGATTTTATTCTAGGTTAAATTTTAATAATTTACGCAAATTCAGCTTTTGAACCTCAGGACGACTTAGTTATTTCATTTTTTCTTTGCTTATGTACAGCTGGATAGCAGTAAAACTAATGACGCAATACTACAGCGACCGCGACTACCCCCTAAAAGCAATGATTTATCGTCTCTTTATCCGAAGGTGAGCAAGAATCAATAAACTGTTATGCCTTTTGATTCTTTTACCATCGTTAAACGGAATGAAGCCCTCTTCTTGCGTGGGCCGCTTTAAATTGCGTAAATTAGATCAGTAGAGGACCTACTCAACCGCCACCGATCGAAAAGTGCTGCGTAATCACATCGATGTAGATAAAGGGTTTCTCAACTAACTCATAGTTTCCTAAATGAAAAAAAAGCTGATTGCGGATGAGGTTTCATTTTGAAGAATTCCATTGTAAGCCTTGGCCTATTACATTTTGGGGAGAAGTGTCGACAGCAACGTTAACTACGTCACACGTGGTTTTAACAGTTCAAGCGTTCGCGACTGTCATTAGAATTTCCTTTAGTTCCCTTTGATACCAATTTTGAACTCTTTTATTTGATCTGGCAATTTGCAGCGAACTAGCTTGACGAACGCGAAACTTATTTTGTCAAAACGTCATTTCTGACGCCAGCTAATGAAAATGTGCATTGCGTCACCTTTGTTTACGTTCGAGTAGCTTTACGTCATTAAGAGAATTTAATATTCAATCTTTGATGAGTTCGATCGAAAAATATAGAGTAGTCAAATAGATAACACGTAAAAGCTTAGCCTTTAATAGTCGTTCATATTAATTTATTTTTGCAGTTATTTGGGATCATAGCCGTGGTCATCTTTTTCTTTCCCGTGGTTTCTGCTAAGGTTGGATTATATGTATAGTTGTATTTATAACATACCTTATAAGTACTGAATTTTGCATTTTTCACGACTGTTAATAAATAGCGAAATCATTTGCCTAGACCGCGAACAAGAATGCTCGCGGAATTTAATCAAGCAAACTCTCATACTACAAAGAGCTGAAATTCAAATCAGAAGAAGAAAAAAAAAAATTAACATGTATACACCGAATGCAAATATGTAATAATCCTTTTGTGTTTCCACGTGAAGACGAGGCTAGTGAGTCCAGAACAATGGCAATTCAAATTGGACGCCATATTTGCATTCGGTGTATAACATCACTTGCTCCTTGTTTATCTTGTAATTTTAAAAAGCTCAGAATTTTTGAGAAATAAAACGAGGTTGAGAACGCTTGAATCGTGAAATTCAAATGCTCAATTTTCGTATTTGTCATTTGAAGTTGTGGTAATAAAACCGCACGAAATACTTTCTCACCAAATCGCGAAATTAAGTACGAATAATAAAAATGTTGATAGTTTTCAGCTAGTATTACTTTCGTTTAAAAATCAGAGCACAAAAAAAAAAAAAATACATTTTTCATTCTAAGCTAAGCCAAACGAGAAACTTTGATAGCAATTCCACTCGTTTACTTTCAACATCTTCTTACTTGGAAGGGCAGAATATGATGTTTCTTTCATCAAACTAATTTTTTTGAAAGTCATTTTAATACTCGATAAGTGTTGGGAAGTGCAAATGGTAAACATTTTGAAAATTGTCTGGCAAATGTTATCATGTGAAACTTGGAAATACCCACTGAAAGCCATGCAAATAATGGCGAATCTTGAATTACTATACGAGGTCTTTTCAATACCGTGAGTTGCATCAGAAGTGTGCGTACGTTGAGGTTACTCTTATCTACTCTGCTGGCTTTCACAAGAAACAAGTCAGCATAAAACAATCCTATAATAACATTATTGAGCGCTACGCCCCGAAAAGGTTCGTACATATTTCCTAAGAAAACAAACAGAAAAAGAGGTCTTCCCTGCCCCGACAACTAAATGGTGATTTTAAGAACATCGAGTCTCATTACTCGTAGATTGAGGAAATACGAACGAGGCTTCATCGGAGGTCGTTTACCCCAATTCTATGCTGCAGACTTCGAGCTACTTTTTAAACTAATTGAATTCCTTTTAGGACGTGGCCCTCTAGTCATCAACAACCATCTTCAAAGGCTCTGAAAAATCTGTAGCGATCCGCCATTTTGAATTTGAATGTAGATTAGCGCCTTGCCTCGTATATGGTACATTTAATTGTCCCAGAAAAATATCGCCTGCACATTGGGTAAACGTACCAACTTCCGCTGCTCCCCCCTCAAAGAGAATAGGGGTAACACTGAATCGGCGATCTGTGGTTACTGGTAAGAACTGTATACGAAAGAAAGTTTTTTTGCGGCATATAATCGAGTAAATGAAGGCGTGAAGCGAGCGTGAAGGGCGAGTCACTCCCGTGACGCCTGTTCTGCTATTGCGTCTCTTTGATATAGCAATTGTTTTTTTTTTCTGCGATAGTGAAGTATGGCTTACATGACATCAAGGGTGAGCTGACTCTTGCTCAACACGGTGGAACTACGTTGGACAAAATTCTTGCGAGTTTTGATAATGTCACCGCCGTTACGATGCAAATTGCGAATAATATGTTGCTTTTTTGGAATGTTATTGATGATGAGTACGGATAAGACTGCCATTCATTTGTTATTAACTTTTTTCATGCGTTTTCTTTTTCTAGCCGACGCCAGGCCAGCTAAATCCCTGCAAACCAAACCAACACTGGGTTGAAAAGGAAAATGGCTCACACTGGTGTATAGATTGTGGAACTTGCCCAGAAGGACAAGGCCTCTCAGTAGAGTGTGGGGGTTCTGAACTGCTGCCTTTTAATTCTATGGTGAATTGTGTGGCATGCATCGAAGGAGTTACATTTTCCAGATATGGAGATTCGTCCAGTTGCCTTCCCTGTACATCCTGCTCCAAAGGTCAGGTGGTAGAACAAAGCTGTTCGCCAAAGTGGGATATCAAGTGCGCAAGTAACTGTTCAAGCAAGGATAGGTACAATTTTTCTTTCAATTGTTTATTGATTGTCCTTGAATTGATCATTTAAAGTGTTTGAACTGTTGAGTGAATATGCTTAAAGGTTTTGACGATTATTTTGTACATGAAGTTTATAGCTAGAACAGGTGCAGAGTTAAGAATAGTTAAAGCTGATCTATCACCAATACTTATATCTTAAAGCCATCACAATATTTACAGAAAATCATTTTATGTTAGTTTAGTAGCATGCTAGTGATTACTTAAAAGTCATAATTATTTTATTGGTTAGGTATTATGATGTGGACAAGGGGGACTGTTTAAAATGCTCAAGATGCTGTGGTGATGACGCAGATGTAGTGGTGAAAGAGTGCAAGGAGAAGTTGGGAGCTGGCTCAAACATGATCTGTTCATTTGACAGCAGTGTGAAGCGCTGTGACCAAACAACACCTCAACCAACACGCACTAACAGCCATGTGAGCCGCAAAGAAGATGTGCCTTACAGCACTCAATACAGGGATCATTCCGCTCAAGCAAAGGATCAGGACTACTTGGCAGCAACCGTTATTCCTGTGGTGATAATGGTTGTTTTGGTTGTCTGTGTTTGTCTGTACTTTTTCAAGAAGAGACTGGCAGAGATGTTAAGTTGGTGTCATTGTGCTGTTGAAGAGGAAGACCACCATGAATTAGCAGTCCTAGAGGACGCATCATCGACTGACGGTAAGGACGGTAAGAGTGGGTAGCTTTCCTCTGAAATCGTACTGATGATGTCTACTTTTGAAATATTGACCTGAAAGAAGCATACGAAAATTATTTTAAAAATCCTGACCACTAAGACGAACCCGATCGCAGAGAAAATCTTAGTATCTCCATCGAGCTCTCTTTCCCAAGGTGTTCTTTTAGTGAGCAGTTTCGTCCAAGACCTCGTCAGCTGATCTCCTTGAACGTTAGTTTACCTCATATAGCATCGTAGGAAAAGTAAGCATTCGGTATTGCGTTTGGATACAATATTATTTCTTCTGTTGTTAACTACGACGCGACAACAGTCCTCGAAATGCACACGAAATTCCACTCCCTTCTCTATGTGATTGGCCTTCTGTTATCAATCTCTTTAATGATAACCGACTACGTGACGTCTCCAGAAATTGCTTTCGTCTCATTCCCCATGGTCTAAAAAGCTTTCTTCATGCCTGTCAAATTTCTGAAGCAAGAATTTTTTTGTATGATCTTTCTAATAGATAACTCAAAAGGAAATTTAGAGGAGGGCGATAAGTCATATCAGCCAGGAAAAATTATTTCAGATTCAGAGGAACCCTTGTTGAAAGAGGTACACAAAAGAATATTTTCTGTCCTAAAGTGCAGCATAATATATTTAGCTCCTCCCGTCAAATGTATACCTGTGGTTCTTTTACAACCAGTCCAAACATCAAGCACGTTTAGAATTTAACGCTTTGCCTTGAGGTAGAAGTATTGTCAGAAATCAAAGTACAATTGAGATATAACTGAGGTACTACCAAATATGTGTAGACGTCAAAACTGAATCAAGATGAGCTCAGACATGCACAATGTGTAATTGCACTTTCCAGAGTACGTTGAATCTTATAAAGGAGCCATAAAAGTGCCCTTTATTGAAGCTCAGTTACATACTCTAGTGATCTTCTTAAATTGAAGTAATGCCGCATGTACTCATGAATTGAATTTAGTTTTCTCTTGTCTCAGAGTGTTCCAGAGATCTTAGACGACACTGAAACCATCAAAAAGAAAGGTGAAAGAATTTCAGTTGGAAGGAGACTTTGATCTTACTATCAGTGGAATTCATGATTACTCGAGACGATTCTTGACTGTCACCATCAAAAAGCCACCGATACCAACAAATTTAAGACAGTCTTCTCTAAATGTTTTTGTTTGTGTCAATATTATTAAATCTGAGGTTTATTATTGTCATGATTTGTTTGACCAAAATACTTCCAAATGCTTTGCAAAGATTAAAAGTTCGGACAAAGTGAACCCAGAGAAAGGGATTAAACGTTCAACTTTTTGAAAAAGTTGCTTCACCAATATAGGCTCTCGGTGGAAAAGACAGTGGAAAAATTTAGAAGAGTGTAAAACTTTCTGTGTGGTTGGAAGAAAAAGTTCAATTATATTTTGTTTAGAGTGAGCCCAAAATGTAACTGTAATATGAATAAACCCCCATAGTGTTCTCTGTGTTTGAATACCTCTCCTTGTTTTAGGTTCGAAGCCACTTGGAAGCTTGTTGGAGTGTGAGTCTTACCAGTACTTAAAGAAAATATGTGATCGTTTGGATGCACCTATGGCAGGCGTTGGTGACTATCGTGATGTGTGTTCATCTTATGGCATTGATCGTTATCAAATTGCCTCAATTTATGAGAAGCATAGGGATGGACCATCCAGAGCCTTGATTGATCACTTGGCAGCCACACATGAACAACTAACCGTGGCTGAGTTTGTAGTTGTGGTGAGAAAAGTAGCAAAGAGAGGTGATGTTGCAAAGCTTTTAGAGGAATATGATTTGTTGTAATAAGAGAGGGGAAGGATTTTTTATTACTGAAAGTTTTGTTTTCATGTATTGTTATAATCAGTATTTCGCATCGGTAATTCTAAATAGTTGCACTTACTAAATGTAAAGACTTGATGGAACTTAGGGTAATGAAAAGGAGCCAATGTTTAAAGAGATGTCTTGATTGGCATGAATTCCATTTCCTCTTCGGTTTAATAATAATTTTAATGTTAGAGCCATGTATAAACCCGCAAACGCAACGTTTAGAGAACTGATTGTCTTGTTGCCTTTGCCAGTGAAGACAAGAGGAAGCAAAGGCCTTTTCTACGTTACTTTTGAGATTACCTACCTGTCGCGTATCGCGAGGAGACCGATCTGCGAATTCATTAGATAGTCCTTACCGGAAAGGAAATGCTTTCCAAGTAGTTTAAGATTCTACCAAGAATAGAGCAGTCTTCAATTTAGCGTCGCAAATCCAAAACCATAGCTACCACACTACCTAAACAAAACAGAGGTTATCAGCAGCCAACAAAGTACCCGCAGGCAAACTCTTTGAAGCGCGTGAGAACGCGAGTGTTCGAGTTGCGATTGGCTTTGGCTTTATGTTTCATTGGTTGACGCGGTGGCAGATAGAGCAACATTAAGCAAAAAAAATAAAACGCAATTCCAGATTTTTTTGACACTCAATTATAAAACCGCGCACAATTCGTCCCACAGGATCTGTTATATCTAGATCCTAGCATCGAGAAAGCACTCTTAATTTAAAACAAATATGTTTCCCTTATTTTTATCTGTTTTTTATTACTTTTGAGTATTTTTGTATTTTTTATACTAACTAATTAATTTTTAGTTTTTGTTATGTATCAATGATAGAGCGTCTAAGAACTTAAGATGTATTCGCAGTCTTTCTGGTAGTGACTGTATCTGCTTTGCAATACCTACTTATTCAAATGTTTTCATAATCAATTTTATTTTTAGAAGAGTAAAGGGCTTAAACCTTATCTACAGTCTCATGCATTAAGATTTGTTTTCATTTAACTTTTAAGCGTAATCTAATTATTTATTCTGCTTTCTAGCTAACGGATGAACATTTGCTCAATAATTTTTCACTATTCGTTCTGGGAAATGTGTTGAAACTGTAATGATAAGTTCCGAGGTGATTATGGATGAGATAGGTTCTCCGTTAGGTAAATTACTAAAAGACGTTGTAATTCACTTTTTCTCTGCAAAGTGGATTGCTACTCTTAGACTGATGTACTAGTTATATTAATGGTATGTATTTTGTAGTTTCTTGTTACTAAATTTTTCGAATACCGTGACATTTTTGGAATTTGAAAAAGACGGCAAGATATCGACTGTTGTATTTCGTGATACAATTTTTGTCCTTAATTAAGTATTTCATGAGTGAATAGCAATTTACATTTAAATTGTATTAATACACAAATTTCAGTATTCTAAGAAAATGTTATCATGTATATTTCAGAATTAATTTTTCATATTCTCTTTTGATCTATACCACATTATTGAACGACGACGTCGCATTATCCAGTTCCATTTATTCCATTTGTTAATACAATTGCAAATAGAGACATTTGGAGTACACGACATGGCGGATTTGTATTGAGGATGATTAGAGTTTTACAAGGCTGAATATATCACAGGAAATTTAGAATATTTGAGCTACAGCTAACCCGTTGAATTGGAACCATTTTTAATTTTATGCTGTTTTCTTGCAAATGGCAATTTTGATGTAAAGCTGTTTCTCCCTATATCCCTTGCAACACACTCAAAGAACTTGAAAAGGTCGACAGCGTCGTCAGTCCAAGCTTGTGGCGGCACTGTCAACCAGAACTATGTCATTTTATGTCCTTTTCAGGATCCATCTTTTATTTCGTCTCATTTGAAAGTAGTCTGAGCACTCGAACACTTAAGACCGTGAGTTTTCAACAACTAAGTTGCGACTACTCCCTTGTCTAGTTAATTTTCAAACTGCGGATTTCCTTCCACTGTTAGCTTATAGTGTAACGTTCTCTTTTTCTCCTTCAAAGGAAAGTCCCTTCTCCACTTTCCTTTCAACTAGACTGGCTGGCCTGGATCAGGATTTACGCTTGACCTCTCTGCTTTGGATGGCTGTTTACGTCCACTGCATCCAAGCCTTTGCAATTTAAAATCGTTTTTGTTGTCATATTCTTTGTCCTGTCTCCACTTTCTACGCTGCAAGAAGTATATTTCAGTCTTGAAAACGAAATTACAGAAGTTGCATAGCAAATAGTCTTCTATTTCTGTCTTCTATTTCTGTCCGCTGCTGAGATAAAGATACAACCCAGACATTCTATGGCTGACCGAAACTAATTTTAATTGATCCTCCCTAATACTCTTATCAAATTATGAGGATTACAATTAATGTCTAAGAGTTCAATGGATTGATGATGGAATTAAGGATAATAACGACGAGGGTACTTTCTACACTAAACCTCTGATGCTACGCGAAGTGTGACTTTACGGTTGATTTGAGGAGCTTGGAAATTTTTTAGTTTTGGTTTTTGTGGATTTTCCGGTTGTCCTTAATTCCAACTATACGTTTTCAAAGGAAAAGGAAAAATCCCCGAAAAAGTGCATAATAATCAGATCAAGTGTCATTTTGAAGTCGGAATGGCTTGGAATGTTCAATAGCCTACCATGTAGCTTCCCTCTCCATAACTCAACAGGTTTGAAAAATTTGAACTGATTTCAGGATTCTTTCCTTGTTTACGTTGTACTCAGTATTAATTTCCAGAAATTCTGCGATCTCGAACTACTATTAATTGTTTCCAAAAACATGCACATGTTAATGATTGTTCCCGTCTCGACATGAAAGCGATACTAGGTGCCACAACTTCCTGCTCTACTTCTTCACTTGCCTACAGCCAAGCTTGGGCAAATCACGGTTTCAGCACTTGATTACAGAGGAATTTGAAATAATTTGTTACGTAAATAGATTAACTTCACATATACTCTAGCCTCACGAAGATGGAAGATATAAAATTCCCCTGCGTATGGTGTGAAGGCGTTTCGATCGGAACTTAGAAATTGAGGGAGGGTGAGGAATTGTAAAGTACGGCTTGGTTGAAAGAGTAGACCCGGGTCAAAAGAAATTCAGCGGGGACTATTGTGTTCTCATTCAATAGCGTCTTTCGATATCGTTTTAACTCGCTCAAATTCTGTGATTCTCTATTCATGTGACTGATACCACCCTCCCCCC